TGTGGCTGTCATAAATAGGAAAGAGTTGTTCAGGCACTACACAGCAGGTTTCTCTCAGACCCTAATATATACATTATGGTAACAGTGAATATGTGAATTTTTAACTGCTTGGAAGCTGGAAAGGAAAAAAATGCATGTACTGACAGCACAAGCAATAGGCTGTGGCTTTGAGATAGTCCAGCAGCATAATGACAAGAAATTTAAGTGTAACCAGTTATTAACTTAAGACTAGAGGCGTGTGAAATAAATGGCTTAAAATGAGCTTTTGGTTTTGAGTGCAACCTGTGCTCTGTCTCATGCATTGTGTTAAAAATAATAGCCTGGATTAAAGTATATTGTGCATAGAAACCTAGGATAGAGGGCCAAGATAAATGATTCCTTAGAAGAAGATTTCATATGTTAAATAATAGTACAAAAATACTTCAATTTGTAATGCAAAAATTATATGTGTTTATTATAATCATAACTAAAAATCCTCGGCAATCCTCTTTTGTTGGATATTGCACAGGCTGCAGAAAGGTATGATTTTATACATGGCCGTTGAATATTCTAATCAATATGTTTATACTGAAGCACATTAATTAGAAAAACAATTTAATATAATATACCGTGGAACTGTTTTTAACAGAGAACCCCTGACCTAGTGATTATCTGTAGGGCTTGCTCAGCTGATTCCGGTTTTTATTTATTACACAACTGAACCCAGCAATGATTCAGGTTTGGTTACAAAATTCTGTATACCCACCCACTCTCCTTACACCAAATTAATCTATAAACATGGTAGAATGGAATTAATGGCTCCTGTCTTTGCTAAAATCCACTCTACAAATCACCAAATTTCAAAGGTATCAGGGAAAGTCTTAGAATCATAGAATTATAGAGCTGGAAGAGACCTCAGAAGGTCATCAAGTCCAGCCCCCTACCCAAGGCAGGATCAATCCCAACTAAATCAACCCAGCCAGGACTTTGTCCAGCTGAGACTTAAAAACCTCTAGGGATGGAGATTCCACCACCTCCCTAGGTAATCCATTCCAGTCTTGCTTCTTAAGAAATTTTAATAGGGAAGCCAGAGAGAATCTCAGATTAGAAACCACTAAAATTGTATGTCCTTTATGGGGGAAATTATGCTTGGCGCTTGAAAAGGGAGAAAAAGGTGTCTGATCAGGGAGTAAGGATGGGCATGGTAATTTTTTGTATTCTTCTACAGACATTATTAGGTTTCCTCATCACTAACATACGCACAAGAAAAAAATCTGAAACAACTCCATTCTTATCTACATCACAATATGTCATAAGGAAAATTAGGAAATATTTTCTTTTGTAGCTAATTATGCATTATTATCTTAAAACTCAAAACTCATTATGATCTTAAAACGCTATTCCCATTTTGCCCCTCTGACTAGAACATTGTTAATTGCTCAATTCCTTAAATGTTTCTGCAGTAAAGAGACTGTCACAAAATGTCATGCTGCCTCACTAGCAACCAAACTTCAAAAATGATAAGTACTCAGGTAGATTGGAGGGTAAAAAGAAAAAAAAATCAAAGCAAGGTTTTCTAAAGTTATTCAAAATGGAGATGCAGTTCCAAATTGAAATTGTCAGCCTTATAATTAAATATGAGTATGGTGGCTCCTTCCTTGAAGATAAAAGCTACTCATTCAGGTCACTGATCTGATTTATACAGTACATTTATTCCCTGCCAACTCACTGTTGCAATATGACAACAGCAAAGACAGCTCAAGTTGAAGGCAGAAAGAATCTTTAATTCAGGGAAATAAATACTAAATAGTTTTAACACCAGCAAAGGGACCATACTCAAAATGAAATATGATATTATCCAGCTGCTATCTGACTCTGTTATAAACTATTTCCTATATAAAAAGAAATTTAATTGTACACACGCGGCGAGGAGTCCTGTGGCACCTTATAGACTCACTGAAGTGTTGGAGCATAAGCTTTCATGGGCAAAGACCCACTTCGTCAGATGCATGCATCTGACGAAGTGGGTCTTTGCCCATGAAAGCTTATGCTCCAACACTTCAGTGAGTCTATAAGGTGCCACAGGACTCCTCGCCGTTTTTGCAGATTCAGACTAACCCGGCTACCCCTCTGATAATTGTACACACATAATCTCAACAGGTGACATTTCTGGTTCCCATATTTTATGAATATTGGAACAACTCCTCAAATACCGTGATCTGCTATGGAAGGCCCAACCATGGCGAAAACAAGAAATAGGGAATGCTGCACACCCTGTTTTTCACAGACCTCACTCCTATGATGTCTTTACAGGGGAAAAGATGGAGAGCAAGAAGCGTATGTGTAGCGTTGGGGGTTCCCGCCTCCTGCACTCCCATAGTGGCAAAAACAGACTCCACCAGCCAGTAGAATAGAGGGAGTTTATTGCTTCTCCAGGGTATAGCACAGCACAGATGTAATCTGGTCCCAGTAACCAGGGCTAAGAGGCTCATCCCCCCCAAGATGGGGAGACTGGGCCCCTACAATTCTAGCCCCCTCCCTAGTCTGTTCTCCTCATGCTACCTCCAGCCCCGCCAACCAGCCAGGGCTGATCTCGCCCTCCTTTCTTTGTTCTGCTCCCTGGGAAGTAACTGGTCGGACCGGTTCGGAGCCCCCTTGCATAATGACTCATCCCCTGCCCTGCTGAGCGGTGCTACAGACAGCAGCCAGCGGAGGTCACCCTCAACCCAAGCCTAGCCACCAGCAAGGTACCAACACTACGTCACAGTATGTCCCTGAGTTTGGCCTGTAACAGCTTTCCTGACTTACAACTACAGTACAACACAACAGAGCCTAAGGGTTCTCAGCCACTTACATGGGCCAGTTAACATTGACATAAAGTCAGCCTCGAGAGTATTCTGCAATTTAAATATGGCTCCAAATGCAACAAGTGAAGCATTCTCCGGGAATAATATTAAATTGTCCCAATTAGCAGATTTTTTATTATTATCTTATAGTGCCCACAATATTCATGAAAGATTTCTTTACTTTAAAATTTGCCTAAGGATGGCACTAGTTCTTTAAATACACACAGTTGACAGCATATGCCAACAAGATAAGGGTTATAATGTGCACTCCGTATATTTCTGCTGGGATTTTCAGAGAGTAAAGCCACAAAGAAGGGACTAGTCTTCTCATCTAGGGTGACCTCCTGCACCACCAGGCCCATAGACCTTCCCCCAAATAGTTCCTATTTGAACTAGGGCATATCCTTTAGAAAGCCATCCAATCTGGAGCAGGTTTAGAAGATGAAATGACTTCCCCAAGGACACACTTTGTAGCTGGGAATAGAAGTCAGATTTCCTTAAGCCTTTTCTATTCCCTATCCAGACCATGCTGTCTTTCTTAAATAACCCTAATAGAATCAAGCATGCTTTTGCCTTTGAATTTAAATGGGAGTTTGAAAATGCTAACCATACAAAAACAAAAAAGATACCATATTCACTTGTCACAATATTCCTACATTTCTTTGGCTCCATACAAGGGAACCATTGAAATACCATGGGAATAACTGGAGAATTTTTGTCTAGTGTTGGACTATAAGGAACTAATGAGTAGCACATTCATAGGTCTTCTCCTTAAATCAGTATTAAGTGAAATGATGCCCTGCAGCCAGCCATCATAATTTCATGTTTAAAAAGGACCAGCAATGCCCCTCTGCCACATATATTGGCCAAAATGGACAGTCTCTATGACAAAGGATTAATGGACACAAATCAGATATTGGAAATGGTAACACACAGAATCTTACTGGGAAACAGTTTAACGTGCCCAGACACTCACTAATGGATTTAAAAATGACTATACTATTACAAAACTATTTCAAAAACCAGCTGGAGAGAGAAGCTGCAAAACTTGGTTTCATTTCCAAGTCTGACACCTGAAATCAATGTTTGAACAAAGACCTGACCTGGATGGGCTGCAACATTCCACACCCAGATGACATTAAAAGCTAAGCACTGGGTTCTTGGAGCCCACTCAATTAGCCTCATTTAGCATAGATACTCTAATTATCACAATTTTTTTCCTTCTCACTAGCAATGTGTGGATGAACTCCATTCATCTAAAAAAGTGGTTTGTTCCCACAAAAACTCATGATACCATCTACATTTCTTGTTAGTCTCTAAGGCTATATCTACACTCCAAAACTATTTTGGGACACTAGAGTATCCCAGACTAACTATCCCATGTCTTAACAACAAACCTGTTATTTTGGGCTCACTATTCCTACGTTCCTGTAAATCTCATTCCATGAGGAGTAATGGATTTTTTGGAGTAGCGGGTTATTTTGAACTTTGGTGCTGTGTAGACAGCGCCAAATTATGAAATAAGATATTACAAATTGTAGCTCAAATTGTGTACCTTATTTCAAATTACAGTGCATTGTAGACATAGCTGCAGAACTATTTTTTGTTTTCCCAGTTAGGATATATCTACACAGCAGCATTATTTCAGTATAACAGATGTTATTCCAAAATAGTGTATTGTGTGTCTACATAGCAAGCCTGTTATTTTGAAATAAATTTAAAATAATGGGTTTCTTATTCTGACTGCTTTAAAACAGGAATAAAGGAAGTTGGAGGAAGAGTGCTCTATTTCAAAATAAGTGGTGTGTGCACATGCCCAAATTCGAAATAAGCTATTTCGACTTAAGCTGCCTAATTAGCATAGCTCAAGTTGCATAGCTTATTTCGAGGTTAGCCCTGCTGTGTAGACATACCCTTACAGACTAATACGGCTACCCCGCTGAGCTATTTAAAAAGAAACAATTTTCCAGACATATAGAGTCCAGCATCACAAATCATTTTATATCTCTGAAATCTGAGCACTGGAACAACATGAATATAATGATCTTCCTGGCAGAAACAAAGAAATCAGATCATACTAAGTTAGTTTTATTTTTCAAATGTTATTTATTCTTAGTATATTGTGATTAAAGCCAGACTGATTTCCTAGGCTAACAGCCATGTTTCTCATTACAGTTGGATAGTGTCACTTCACTAATTCAGGCTGCCAAAAACTTAATGAATTCTGTGGTGCAGACAGTGAAGATGTCCTATATTGCCTCTACTAAGATCATCAGAATACAAAGTCCTACTGGCCCACGACACCCTATTGTGATGTGGAGGATGAAGGCTCCAGAAAAGAAACCCCTGATTAAAAGAGAGAAGCCAGAGGAAATCTATGCAGCTGTCAGAAAAGGTTCTGCTAAGAAAAGGATCCATCCTGTTCAAGCTATGAGTGAATTTAGAGGAGGAGAAATAATCTAAAATTACTATTCTGGCAAAGTGCACATTTCGTACCTTACAATTGCTATATTGCAATGTTATTTTTCCACTTATTTAATTCTATAAGTATGCTAATGTTTGGAAATTCTCTTCTTCTGTATGTTTAACATTAACTGTAGGTTATTTCATCATTTAAAAAGGCATTTAAAACAAATATTTGATTAGTTAATGGCACACAATTTAAAATAATTTTAAAAAAAATTATCTTACTGTATTGCTCACTTTCTTTACAATGCCTTTTTTTGCAGCCAAGCATTTTGAGTGATAGATTTGCATGCTGTGTTATAACAAGAGCTGGCTTTCATGTAGTTGAAAGGCAAGGCACAAGGGGCCAAATTCATCCCTGGCATAACACTTGACTTCGGTGGAGTTACACCACAGATGAATGTGCCCTGGTAGTTTTATATTCAGAGCTCTTTAGGGCATACAGTCTTCTATGGGTAGGCTATATTGGGCCACCTCCTTGGCTGGCATAGATAAAAGGAAATGAACTGATATACACCACCTAGGGATCTGGCCGATTCACTTGCCTTCATTGAAGGGCATTGTAAAAGATTTTTCATAAATGTTAGGTATAAATATAAATGGAATATACGTTTTAAAATATTTGGCAGAACAATGCATTGTAATAATGCAATGTAAAATTGAGCTGATTGTAATGAAGCTATAGCTATAGTAATAAATCTGAAATATAAAGACTAAACCTTTGAAACTTTAATCCACATTCTGCTTCCTAGCTAATTCTGTTTGGGTATGTCTACACGGCATGCTTATTTCAAAATAAGCTATTCCAGAGGAAATACTCTGAAATAGCTTATTTTGAAATAGTGCGTCTACTATTCAGTAGTACTAGTCAGGGAATCCTCAAAATTAATCTGAGGCAGGCTTCCCTAATGTGGATGTGATCTCGATTTATAGCCCCAGGAGGCACTGGAGAGTAATTAGTTTGAATGGCCCTGGGCAGGAGCTTTTTCGAAATAACAGCAGTGGAGCATTCACATTACTGCTATTCCAAAATACCTATTTTGGAATATACATTATTCCTCATGGAATGAGGTTTACAGAAGTTGGAATAAGAAGCCCATTATTTCAAATTTATTTTGAAATAATGGTTATTTCAGAATAGTGGCCATTATTCCGAAATAACACTGCTGTGTAGATGCACCCTATCATTATCATCCTATCATTGACTATCATCTTCACAAGTCCAAATAAATCAGGTAATAATGGTAAAATATTTTAGAAGAAAGAAAGAAAGAAAGAAAGAAAGAAAGAAAGAAAGAAAGAAAGAAAGAAAGAAAGAAAGAAAGATGTCTTGACATCAAAGATGTCAAGGAAATACCCTATAAATATCAGTCTTTGAAAAATAACTTCCATGGACTAAACTACTTTATCTATGGCATCACAGTCCCAGGTGATAGCCAGCCTGCTAAGTTACTACAGCACTATATTTCAATGTATGCCATGTAGCTAAAAGTGCTGTTAATTGTTAAAATTATCACCTTATTCCTATAAAATATTCAGTGAAAGAAACTCCTTTCAATCAAATGCAAATCTTAGCTTCTGCTCTCAATACATTTGTGACCATGGTCTGAAGTGATTCATACACCTACATAGCCAGGAACTTCCCTTCCTTCCCAGTCATCCATTCTTATCACCTTAGGATTTTCAAAGAAGACTAGGAGATAGGTCTTAGAGCATCACTACTTATCTAAAACACTGTTAGTGGAAAGCATTGGTTCTTAATTTAGTTTAATAACAAGCCTTTTGTTTTCTTAATCACCATGCCTCCGTTTATGAATAACTTACCTGTTTTCAAACTCATCACATATTACATGCAAGCAGTGGTGCAGGCTCCAAAATTATTTGAGACAATATGAAACTCGGGGGGACCTGCCCCCCCCATAGTGCTTGTGCTCCCTTCATTGTGTACTAGTGTTTAAGAACCTCCCCACCTCCAATGCCATATCTTCATGAGGAATAAGATGCTTCTGCTTCAAGCACATTTTCCAGAAGCTACAGACTATGACCTGTTGCATAGCCACAATGTATTAAAATGCTACGGAGACCAGGATGAGCTGTTTCTTCCCACACATGGGGAGGAAGGTTGGGGAAAATATTCCCATCCTCATCTGCAGCCATCTTTTAACTAAGCTCAGGGTAGGGAAGCACCATAACCACAAGAGTATATGCTAAGAATCCCCATTAGCGTACTGGGAAACCTGAGCTGGGGATTTATGAGCTTTGTTGTTCCCCAGATTAGTCACTAAGACTCAGATCCCAGAGGTATTTAGGCACCTAAACTACATTGATTTGGAAGAGAAGGAGGTGGCTAAAGCATGCCAAGGTGTATGTGGTTACAGTGATGAGATGAAAGAGGTGAGGAAAAGGAAGGCTGCACACACTTGCCTCCTCCAACCCCCAGCTGAAGAGTTTAATGATGTGGACAGCAGCCCATAGGGCTTTCAAGGGTGAATGGGCACCTGCCAGTTCCTCTTAATTATAGCAAGAAAGGGAGTCAGATGGCAAGCGAATAGAACAGGGGTGGGCAAATACCAGCCCACGGGCCAGCTCCAGTTCATCAACGTTAGTCCTTGGTGGACTGGCATCGCTATATCTACCTGTTGGCTGTGAATCACCATTCCCAGCCAATGAGAGCTGCAGGAAGTGGTGCGGATGCCATTGACCAGGAATGGTGATCGGCAGGCAATAGGAGCTGCAGTTGCCTGTACCTGTGAAAGTGGAGATAAATATAGTGGCACCAGCCTGCCCAGGGCTAACCCAGTTGATGTAACTAGATCCTGCAGAAACATTAGCAGGGATCAGTCCTTATACTTGAAAAATCCCTGTGAATGACATCTCCAGGATGTGGAGAATGGACACAAAGCCACATTGTGCCTTCTAATTTGCCTACCTGGATTGTGGGTATTCCACCATATGTCCTTTTCTGTGCTCTTGCAGCTTCACCAATCCAGGAGTTTTTTACAGCTTGTTTTCCTGCACCATAGGCGTTATCTACACATACAGAATTTTTGCACTGTCAGTTTCAACAGTGATAGGGAACCATTATAAGTGCTGGTTTGTGTTCTCATGTAGGATCACAGGCATCAGAGAGCATTTACATTGTCAGCCCTTCCATCACCAGTGAGAGCAGTGTCCTGAGGGCAGCTAAGTCATAGCACAGCTTTCATAGGAAAGGGGAGACGGAGGTGATCACAGAGCATCCTGGCTCCTCACACGGCCTCCTCTCCCCAAACACTGATCAGCTCCAGTAGCTCAGCATTGCCGCAAGCAGGATATTGTTTTGCGCCTTGAAGAAGCCATTGTCATCTGGCCAGATAAGTGAGAACTTGCCAAGAAAATAGGAAGGGGAGTACAAAGTTCCCAGGGTTTTACAGGTAGAGGGGCAGATGTCTGTTGATGTAGTAGCAGAGCTCCTGTCTCAAGTGAGCTCCTAGACATTGCAGGATATCGTGAGGAGGCTAAAAGTTCTGAACACTGAAAGAAGATCTTCACTTGCACATCACTGCAAAAGCATCACAGGTAATAACTGTACACTTCTTGTGGAGATGGTTTTCTTTTGTGGTGAAACATCTGAGTTTCACTGGAAAAAGCCATTGCCAAATGTAGATGCTCCTATTGTTTTAGTGCAAATAAAAGACTTTTTCATATGTAAATGGCAAGTGTGGACCTACCCATTCTGTAACGCTATGTACCCTTTACTGCACCTGGTGTTTGCTGGTATGCTTTATCTTTTCTTTTAAAATACACAGACTGTGTGCCCACATGCTTAATAAGAAGAGCATCATGGATAAAAGATTGGCAAGTGTGTTTATAGACTGTAAGTACCAAAGAGATGGGTTTATATCTATGTGCTTTATATGATGTAAGTTACAGTTCCACAGAGTGACTATTATTAAACCACTATCTCTCTGTTTAACAACTCTGCCTGCATTTGTATTTGCCATTCTTTAATATCGTTCACAAGTGATATCCAGCTCTCTGCTTCTGACACCATTATTATAAAATAATCCTGATGGCCTCTAAAAGGAGACATAAGATGATAAAAGGGACATTGCATTAATTTGAAAGGGATGAATATTTCTATAAACCATTTGGCACACATTCAAACCTATGTGAAAATATAGCAAATTACAGTTTATCTGGAACCAAACTGAAGCCAAAGGTATTTTTAATCAGCTTTTTTGAATCCAAATGTTAAAACTTGCTTTTGGGGAACCCCCTGGAACAAGTCAGAATGCAAGCCCTGACACATGTAGTTTGCAGTAAATTGTTTATATTTATATTACGGCAGGACCTAGAAGGCTCAAACAAGCTGTAGAGCCCATTGTGTAAGCCCTGTACACAAATACATAGCAAGAGTCTCACGCCACTACTGCAACTTCTTTTTGGTCTCAGTAGTGTCAACAAGGAGCCAGGAAATAACTTATATACTGACAAGAAGTAACATTAATACAGCCCAGCTATAGTTTGCATATTTACATAATCAACAATTAAATATATGCTCAGTCAATCCTCCAAGATCAGGGGCAAGCCTTCCTTCTGCTCACATAATATTAACCAGCCAAATACAAGTTTTAACTAAGAACTTGCTCAATAGATACCAGCTTCTTCCTGGCTGGAAAATAAGAACCCAGTGTCAAAGTTTTAAAAAAAAGTGTGCGTGTTTGTGTATGCAGGGGGAAACCTGAGCAAAGGTTTAACACTTCTAATCACTCCGAAAGACCTTTCAAGTAAGATTCCTTTCTTTTTTCAATGTGATGGAAACCCCACTCTTAACTAATCCACCATCTGAAGTGGTGTTTCTTCAGCACCCACACATACTTTCATAACATCTATCTGTTAGCTCAGCCATTCAGATTTTGTTGCCACTCAGAACGCCCCACCATTGTGTTTGGATGGCTTTGGTTTTTGTTTGGTGCCAATAAATAACAGGTTATCATTTCCCTTGAAAGCTGAGCTGTCATAAAGCCAACATCTGCAGCTTTCCAGGGCTTGCACAGCTCGGGGTCTCAGATGCTCTCCTATTGTTGAGTAAGTGACACACTTCACAAATGAACACTATCATTATACAAAGAGCTTTGTTTTTAAAATTCAGAGAAATAATATGTTATAACACAGAGATAGGATTTCTCATTTTTAAGCACACAGTACAAAAGGAAAAGAGAGAGCTCACTCCAGTTCTGTGAATCTAGTGATATTTTTCCTTAGCAAATAATTTGCCCATTTCAGTCCGCACTAGTTGTTGTCATGGTTTCCTTCAGTGTTTAATATTTCTAATTAGAAAAAGTCAGTGTCTCCCTGTTTATGCTGCTTAGTACTTCACTCGGCAAATTTTCCCAATAATTTCATTCTTCCCTGAACAGTGAGCCATTTTCTAATAAACACAATTCCTCTGGGTATTTTTTTTATGTCTGAAATCAATTGTACTTCTACCTCTCGTGTTCTTCTGAGGCCCTGTTTTATCCTACAAACTTACATTTGTGTAACTACATTGTTCAGAGGCAAGCTCATGGGGGGAGGTTGGGCAACCTCTTTCCCACCAGTGCCCTAGGTGTGGGGTCCAGAGCAACCCCCCAGTTGTGGCTCTGAACTCACCCCCCTTACTTGCCCTTTCATCATCTCTTACCTCAAGCCCCGCCCCCTGCTCTGTCCCCTTTCTTGAAGCCCCTTCCTTCGAGTGATGTGAGCTGGGAAATTTCTGAAGGGGGGTCCTGGAATGGTATGGCAGCAGGGATCAGCCCCTTTCAGGTTGCCCTTAGCCCCAAAGGTCCCGTCCATAGGATTATTGAGGTG